TTTGCGGATGATGAACGTGTTTGCAGCATCGAGCCATTCGTTTGCACGGTTGACGCATTTTCGCAGAGCGGCAAGCTCCGGAAGATAGTGATTTATGCGTTCCCCTTCAGAGAGGATCGTCCGAAGGGAGCGGAGCGAGGGGGCGTCACTCTCCGTCAAGAGTTTCTGGAGTTTGCTTTTCCAGGTGGCGGGCACGGCCGCCCGATCGGCTACCCTGGCGAGGTTCTCTTGCAGGTCGGCATCAGAGAACCGCAGCGTCAGAACATGCTGATGGACAGGATGGTCGCACAGGTGCTTGGCGTGCTCAATGCAGACGACCTCGTTCTTGCAGTGACAAGTGACCTGCGAGAGATAGCAGAAAACCTTGCAGTAGGTGCACTGGTACTGGTCTTCTGGCCGATCTTCTTCCTCAAGCCGCTCCACCATCCCCATGGTTCTTGAGACCTGGCGTGACCGCAACTCACGCTCCGTCATTTCTCTCAGGCTCGACTCCAGCCTATCGCCAGACGAGTTGAGCGAAATTTGAAAAACACGCCCACTAAATGATACTCACCACAACGCGGTCTTGATGGACTGCGATTGCTGTGTGATGGTGACAAGAAGCTCATCGTGGGAGAACACGGGCAACTTTCTGTGCTCGCGGTAACGCTGCACACAGTCGCGGCCGTAAGGCAGCCAGTCAGGAAGTGCGAAGTTGACGGCCTCGTTGAAGTTAAGCTACAACCACGCAACATGAATACTTTTTGATCGATCAATCGCGTGTAAAACGTACCCCGTGATTAAACCCAGCATGATATGCCTTTGGAGAGGTGATGACAAATTCACCTGCACGTTGGTTGCATGCGTACACGCGGACCCCGGCATCGGTTAGTCGTTTCGGGTTCATCAAAGTCACAAGCTGAAATAGGAGATCGGGCTGTGCTTCGAAGAGATCCGGCGCCTCGCTCTTGATCGCGGCTTCGAATTTCTCTGCGTCTTCTCCTGGAATGCCGTACCAGGTCTTTGTTTCACCCCAATGCTCTATATGAAAAGGGTCAATCATGTCACAGTAGAAATGAAACGAATACACGATACGCACGGAAGTTAACGCTGTACGTATAATGGTCCTACGCAAGTTATTATGACTGCGGTCAATGACGATGAGTGACAAGTGCTCACCTCGTTGTGCCAACAGAAAGTGGAAAACACCATTCCTACATAGGTCCATGGCACAGTCATACCCGAAATGTCGGACTTGATGTATCGCAAAAGGGAGTCCGCAAGAATTGGGACGTTGTTCAGGTTCCAAGGATCTTTGGAGGCAGGGTCCAACGGGTGGGACTCCATCGTCGGCATGGCACTAGCGTGGATAAGGATTATGAAAATTTTCAACGGTGAAAAATTAAAATTAACAAGAAGATATATCACCCAAAACATACCTTCCATGGGTGGTCGAGTGGACATCTGCTCCATACTCGATCTCAACCGTCTCATGGGGGGACTGCACAAGCCGCCAGAACTCGTTTTCGACGTCATGCTCGGTCACCACGGTGTTACCCACGTAGTTAACAAGGGGGTCAGTGAGATCTGGCGGTGATTTGTGGACAGGGGGATGCGATGCCCACCACATACGACGAAATTCGAGGTCCCTGGCTTGGAAGCTGGAAAGACTGTGTTCATCCCCTTCATCGAAACCGAAATCACCGCCTGTTCCAAATAAGCACGTGTGGCAGAACCATTGGCCCTTTGGGATAGTGGTCAATGGAGGATCCAGGCAGAACATGTGGAAGCCTTCGAAAGTGGGATTCAATGTCGAGTGATTTCACGCAAAAAGATTCGCCATACCGCAGTCACAACCATCGCAAAGAAGCATCTCCTCGTCGTGATTCTTCTTCTGACAAACTTCACAAGACTGCTATCTCGGAGTCAGGTGGATGAACGCGGTCCGCGCAAAATACTTACCTCTTGGGTCAGTTTTGCGTCGTCGTCTGGTTGGGATGTGACGGAGGTTGGAGACACTCGATTGGCAAGATCGCGTGACTTCCCGGTGGCTAGAAATGACATTGTGGGATGCGCCGTATAAAAACCGTAAAAGACGTACGAGTGCTTTGTTCCTGAGAGACTGCCCTTGTACTTCGTCTCGCGCTGGTACCTTCAGCACTTGTACCATTACGCTCCTTATAATCGCCTTCGTCCGGAGGCTCGGACAAAGGACTCGATGACGAAGTCAAAGGACTAGACGGTGGAGACGTGACGTGACGATCAAAACCACTACGAGCACTGGTTGTTTGAATATTCATGTGGGTTTTCAGGTGAGGATCACGATTTCCGCCAGATGAGATCGACAAGGTCGGCGAGTTCCGCACTCGATCACAAAAGTGCTCATAAGGCAGGACTATTCGCGTATAGGAAGTCTTCAGCTGGGTCGAGAGACCGGGTATACCCCTGTACCCGAGCAGGGCACCCAAGTCACCCCATTTCCTGGTCTTTGTGACCTGTGGCAAAGATCAACAAGGGGAATTGTGGCAATGCGCAGCACATACCACCTCATAGCCACCGAGTTTGTGGACCTCTTTGCGGAGTAGCCACAGGTCAAGGGGCTTGTGATTGATCGTGGGCACGGAGACACGTGGATTGCCTTGCTGCTTGTGGAAGCGGTAAAGCTGCTCCAAAAAGTTAACCTTTGCACGAGATGAAGCCTCGATGGAGTTGAGGCGCTGCAATCGAGTCTTAAATCGAAAGGTCTGCCGGAGATGAATATATATAAGATCGGGCCAGAAAAAAATGAGAAAAATGCGGTGGCAAGATACAAACCTCTGTGTCGGTAACAAAAGGCATTTTCCAACCGACAGGAGGGACTACCTTGCAAATCCCATAATTGGCAGCCTTTTCGGAGATCGAACGAATGTAGGCCATGGAGTCCTTGAATTCCTCGGAAGTAGGATAGAAAACGGGGCAATCCTCCAGACCGAAAGGCCGGGGTGAATTTCGGGCAGACTGATTCCTAGGGCTAGATGTTTTCACGGAAGAAAGGTCCAAAGAGGTTGAAACAGAAATTGGAGTGTGATCGCCAAAAAAATCATCAGCGAGGTCCTGTGAGCCGACATCATCGTTATCGAATAGAGAGGCATGGTTTTGAAGGGCGGCAATTGCATGTGTCTTTGATTTGCGAGGAGCTCGCTTAGAGAAACTTGAGGCGGAAGGTTCGGACATTCTCGAAGGAGGAACGGAAACGGAGTCCTCCTGATGATTTATTGGGACTGCACCTTCCACCGGGATCGAGAGACAAGTAGTGAAGGTATTTGGCTGTTTATTCGAAAATTCGGTTGGTAGGGCGTCTGAAGAATGAGAAGCGCCTTGGGCAGGAGTACGGGGAGACCTCCCTCTGCGAGAGGGAGTTGAGCGGGAGAAAGATGGCGGGGAGCCTGTCTGCATTTTGTAACAGAGACAGGTATTGGCTATGAAGCCCGTTCAAGACCTGTGGATGTTATTGTGAGTGAATGTGGCAAAGCCTTGTAGTCTTGACACTTCCTGGATGTGTGGGAGCGGGCATTGAAATTGAGCACCGAGTTATCGTGTGCACCTGCTTCGGCGTGGGAACATGACCAGTTTCGCGGAGTCCAACTTCAAAGCTTCCGCGCCCTGCCAGCGCCCCGCTCTGAGTCTCAGCATTCTTATCCGTTCCTGATTCGTTCCTGATATAATCAACTCCTGTCATATACTCACTGGGACTTTGTCAAAATCATGAAAAATACCTCGCTCATTGGATGCAGTAACAATCACGAAATGAATCGAAAATAATCCATACTAGACATAGATGAACAAAACTATACATTCTCGATCATTATGATGAGCGATATCACGATGGGATAGATACGGAAGTATTCCGAAGCTTCCGTAACGAGTAAAATCTTCACAAGGTTCAACCATCTTCGCGGAAAGTGCCGCCCAATGGAACTGAATCATAGGCGCGAAGATTGCTCAGCAGAGTCAAATTGAAATTAGCCTAATACATCCTAGTCCTCGTGGGCGCGGAACGGAGGACAGCCAGTATGCACGAGGCAACAACAACAGGTTCATCATCCATACCAGAATGTCACCTTTCAACCATGGCAGGCGATCATAGTAGTAAGTAAAGGGAAAATGTGGGTCCAATGTAGGCCCGATTCACAGTCAGCGAATTTCCGTTGTGCACCAACCGCACGCCAGTGAATTCGCTAATATCAGCCGAGGCCCATCCGAGGAAAAAAAAAATCTGAATATTAAAGCGAGTCCTTCGCAGATCGGCGGAAAAGCACTCCGAGCAACCCTGATAGATTTAGAAACCCAAACACGATAGCCGGATGTCGGTACAGGAGCGGAAAATGAGATGCTTGAAAATCACTGTAACGTCCCTGTGCTATCCAAAACCCTGGGGGGCCCTAGAGCGGCGCGGTCGACTATTTGCCCTTCTTTCCCATGTCGCTGGAGAATAACAACACCAGTGCTTCTGCAATTCGATGACGGCAGTTACTGGTGTGCAACACCTGGACAACGGTGTCAATCAATTAAGGCAATCACAGCCTAAGATCACAAGAGGTCCCGATGTCGACGAGCGCCAGGCCGGATGCATCTGGTGCTCCACCTCCATGGGGGTCTCTCAAGATCGTTGAGTGGAGACTGTCGGCATGCGGGAGAATCTACGAATCATTGACTGTCAACAATCTGGAATTATAATAGGTCTGAGACTTTCCCTGGCCGCGGAACTGGCCATGTGAGGACTAGGCTACTGTAAGCCACAGCTGGACAGTGGAGGCCACGAACAAGAGTCATGTCCATAATTAGGGGAACTGTGGTGATGTGGAAATTTTACGTAGAGGATCCGACCAGTGCTTGGAGGACCACGCCACTTGGTACATACAAGGCAGACCTCTGGACGATGAATACGTGTGAATATCACCCTTCCCAACGTATGATCGCGTTGGTGTCTCGAAGACTGCAGAAACGGCCAAAAAAAACACCCCGTTCAATAGAATAAGGAAAGCCCCCGGTGGGACTCGAACCCACAACCTCCAGATCGCCACTAAATTAGAAGTCTGACGTCATAGCCATTAGACAACGAGGGCTTACATTTGTAACCACCAGTGACGACATGAAGGCGTCACCCATGCTTCACTTCTCCCGCCCAGTTGCTCTCCCAGTGGAAAGTACAACTCGGCCTTCGGCCTTCGAGTCACCCTGCCTGCGTTACCCGAATGGCCTAGAAGGAACTTCCTTTGGGCAAATCATGATGCGAGAGGATTCAAGCAGTCGCAAGACTCAGGCACGACCGCCGTGACACCGACCTCCGCAGTCACTGCGTCGCACTTAGATCTTACCCTCATGATGTCAAATGTCGTGGCAAATAGTTAGCTGCTAGGGTGTCATTGTAGGTTCTCTGCTGGCGGTTCCATGGTGCTGTGTGTTCCGGGTTTGTACACGATGGTGTGGCAGGGTGTGGTCATCCGCCTATTGCATAGCCTATGAGATATATGGGCAAAGCAGTACACGGCGCACGACTCATTGGTGAAAAAGATATTTGTTGCAGTTGACTGTTCTCGGTGATCCCAGACGCCAGGCCACTGGCAGTCGGTAATAGTTTTCCTTGGGGTTCTGCTGGTGTGAAGGCTCAGCGCTCAATGCCTTAACAATTGCCAAGGTGCGGAAAACACGTTTTCGCTCAGCCTCGTGTCGTCACCTACGAACGTCAATGTGATAGCTCTTTGATCTATTTAAGTTACAACGTGATTTGAGGGAGACTCTTCCAGGAGTTAATTCGTCTACCCCATATTCGCAGCTTTACTCGAGCTTGGCTTTCGTTCGACGGGACAAAGCTTGAATCAACCCCATCGCTGCTCAACGAGTGTGTTATTTCCCCAGACACCGACACTCCGTACTATCAATGGAGGGACCAGTGTCCTGCGTTGGTGATCGTGGACGTCGCCGAATCTCCCGCTCAGTCAGTATTCTTTCTCTGGAAAAAAGCTCGACTAAAACGTGCAATCTAGTCCACATTTATAAAACTTGGGAGATTCACACGGTCTTTCCGATCGAATACGTCCGACTCGAACAGACCTCCCACTCCTGCTCCCAGCTCAAGTCATTTCGAGTGCGAAAGTTGCCAGTCGGACTCGGACTCTTCTACCACATCGTCACTATGGTGTGGTCTCCGTCGTCGGAGACGTTAGCTGTACTAGTTGTAGTGGTGAGTGCATCCTTGGATCATACATTGAGTGCGGTTGATAAGCATCTCTCAGCACGCGATGGGTGGTCTCTGCTACACCCCCATAATAGCATATTCATGAAAAGCAATCACCTGTGGACATTTACCATTTGTTCTTTTACGGGCATTGAGCATTGGCGTTGGTCGGAGACTGTTCCGTTGTTGTATGATGAGGGTCGCACCATCCTCGTACCTTTCTTATGTAACTAATCTATGTCACCTATTTCTCTCTATGTAGTGCACACTACCTTCCCTCCACTGTAACAATCTCTCGATGAGAGTATTCTGCTATCGCGTGGTCTCGTAACCCTTCGTATTGATGTACTGGCACACAAGGTTTCAAGCTTGAGAAAATTGTGATGTGCATACAATAGATACGCAACACGTTGTTACAATCTACACCATGCCTCATGCCTCCCAAATTGAAAATACGGATGAATAAATGCCGTTCCCGTTGTCCCGTACAAGAGTAACGATGTTACAAAAAATTGCCTTGATCACGGTTACTCCCCGAGCATGACCACTCCCTATCGACTTCAGTCAGCCTGTTACCATTCAATATTCGTCCGTCACGCGTCAAGAAGCACACCGGGAAACATTTCCATTTCTTCACTGGTTACTGCACACACGAATTCCACCCGTTCGTCCGAATTCACCATCCTCTCATACAATTACCTGCATCGAAGTTATTCATGTCCGAGCCGCCGAAATTGTGTCTGAAGGAGCTAGCAAGGATCTCTGTTTCGATGTGAGAGCATAACGTGGGTTGTTACATACAGGAAGGAAGATGCAACAAACCCAAGAGTGTTAACTGTCTATAGGAATGAGCCTGGGCTATCCTGACCACGGGAGCGACACAGGTGGTGAGCATCATCAACGGACTTGGTACGTTATGCTCACCCATATAAATGGCAGATGAGGCCACCACGCGCCCCAAGCATGGGTTGAACCAGACCCGGGTTTACGTCGCTGTTCAGAGTCTTCCAAGTCCTCGTGTGGCCGAGCGGAGGCGCTGTGGGACTCGGCAACACTCAAAAAGGGGTCGGATTCCCCCTTCCGCGAGCAGTCTTTCTTGGGCCCAGCAAGGGCGGGCTAGGCTCAGGCTGTCAAATGGCATGGAAAGTTGTTCTTGGGGTCAAACAAGGTGCTGACACATTCTCATCCCAGACCATCCACAGGATTGCGAGGAACAGGCTGACAGAGTTATTACTTTGGAACCTTGATGGTAAGATGAACATCAAGCACACAGAAGGAATGACTGTCTTCCTTTCGAACGGTCTGGCTACGGGAGACTACCATTTCGTTGGGTTGACCAATCTCCAACCTACATTGTCTTCTACTGGCAGTTAGCCACTGGGCTGCCTCTACCACCTCACAGCACTGGTATGCGATAATAGTGTTCAACAATGCACAGCTGAAGGATGTTTCGAAGAGGCAATAAAATCGGAATTGAGCCCATTCTGGCCTCCTTTCCTCTCTTTGATTGGCAAACTTGTGTCATCATGTGGTAGGCCCCTCTTGTAGACCACCGGACTGTGGACAACGTGCGGTGGTGGTGAGCATAGGAAATTTGTGACAAGATCTTGCTGACATTGATGAGAAGTGGGGTTTTGTGAGAAGGCCACAACAAATTCCTGCTTATGAATGTAGGGTCTCTGCTCAAGGGAATGGTAACTTCATCATGGGCATGGCTTTGAATACCCGAGAGAGCAAGGACTTGCTGATAATTAGTTGGGTAGCTGAGGAATGGACTATTGTTGATGACCCAGCCAAGTTTGATGTAGGCATGATGTTCAAGGTCCAGATGATCTGGGTTGCTACCACATGGGACAACAGGTAGTAGGATAGACTCTTGCTCTGCACCCTTCCATAGGTCCCTGCAATGCTTGAGGGATTCAATGACAAACACAGGAGGGGGCTGAAGTGCTGAAGTCTCTCAGCTCACATAATGCACAGTATGTAGTGCTTTGGTACTGTAGCATATGGACAGCTGAGGTTGACAAAAAGCTGTCTCTAACTGGCCAGTTGATTGTTGGCTGACCTACAGCCTGTAGTTGTAGGGCATTGATGGGCCAAGATGTAATAAAATCCTATGTGATACGGGTTGGCCAAGTGTATATTTCAGTGAGGGCATTTTGAGTAATGGAAGGGCTGATTAACTTGTGCTCTGATATTTCCTTAGTTCAACTATCAACTAAATCCTGTTCTCTCCTGATCTGCTTCACTCTGAACCCCCTCAGTCCTTAAGTTGACCTTAGGATTGATCTCCAACCCTCTGCCCTGAAATCAAGGAACAGAACTTGTACAGGGGTGCAGCACATAAGCTGAAGCCAAAGTTCCTTACACCTCCGACCCCCTCAGGGATTTCTGCCCAACTCTGCCCTTCCGCACACTCCGGACTATCTGGGAATTCTGGGATTGAACCTGGACTTAACAGTATATTCGAACTCAAACCTCTATGAGTTTGCTAACATCATATTTTTACCACATGTCTAGAACTATCCAGACTCGTGCCCAAACACTCAGTATGCAAAGCATTGATGCAGCTCAGTCGGAGGCAGCCCGAGAAGATGCCCTGCACTCCCTGATGACCTCGTGTCGAGGCCCCGACGTCACCGAACAATTCCGAAGCTTTTCTGCTCATCGTACATCAACCTCCATCTCAAATCATCTCCACCCCTACTCCCACAGGTCGTCACCCCTCCGGGGGTGCCAGGACCCCTCTGATGACAGGAACAGTGGCGGCAACAACCCCGACCCCTCAGATGACAACAACCCCTTCGATGACAACCCTGACAATGCAATCCCGCCAAACCCTATCATGGCACTTGCCAATGCAGTTTGCGGCCTTGCTGAGTTATCACGCTGTGACTGCAAATCTGAAAACTCCTCATCTCCACACACAAAGGTGCGGGAACCCGACACCTTCAATGGGACTCACCCTCGCAAGCTGCAGGCCTTCCTTGTCCAATGCGAGCTAAACTTCCAGGACCATCCCCGCGCATTCCAGACTGACCGTGTGAAAGTCACCTTCGCCCAGTCTTACCTAAAAGGTATAGCCCTTGAATGGTTCGAGCCCGATGTGCTCCAGATGGACGATCCGGACTTTCGTCCAGACTGGATGGACAATTATTGAGAATTCATCCTCGAGCTCCAGACCAACTTCAGCCCCCATGACCCTGTCGGTGATGCCGAACACCAACTCGACCACCTATCCATGAAAGACTCCCAGCATATCAACAAATACGTGGTGGAATTCAATTGCCTAGCCTCCCAGGTCCAGGGTTAGGGCAAGGGAGCCCTCTGACATCACTTCTACAACGGACTTCCGGATCGCATCAAAGATGAGCTTTCCCGCATTGGAAAACCACACTCCCTAGGAGAACTCCGGACTCTCTCCCAGACTATTGATGGGAGATATTGGGAATGCAAGTCCGAAGTCGCTTGCCAAATCTGACCTTCCGGAAACCAGTCCTCCACCTCCAAAAGTACTCCCACCACCTCATCTCTGAAACCTGCCACTTTGTCCAACACTTCTGCGTCCTTGTCGGCAAAGTCTTCCGCCCCTACCCCAAAACCCGCATCCAACCTCTCCAGCAAACTCAGGAAGGACGGACGCCTCACCTCTGAGGAATGCAAACACTGCTTTGACCTCAAGCAGTGCATGTTCTGCGGAGCTGCTGGACATGTAGCTAAGGACTGCCAGAAGTCCACTTCCCGCACATCCAAAGGCTGCACAGCGAAAACCTCTCCAGCTCCGGAAGCCAAACTGGCGGCCACTACCCCTGAGGCAAAAAATTAGGGTGCAGCCTTCCGGACTCCACACGGGAAGGAGGCTGCGTTGAATCTCACCATGCACCTACG